AATGGGAGATGAAAGTTGACCTTGTTTCAGAAATATGTGAAGCGACAGGTATGAGAATAGATAGCACTGAATCAGGAAGCCTCGACTTGAATGAAAGACCTTGCCATAAGAAGGTACTTGTTGTGCTTGACGATGTGGATAAGCTGAAGCAATTGAATACTTTATGTGGAAGGCGTGAGCAATTTGGTGAAGGGAGTATAATCATCATTACAACTAGAGATTCACGTCTACTTTATGACTTTAAAGTGGATGACGTATATTGCATGAAGCTTTTGAGTGAGGAAGAGTCTCTTGAACTTCTCAGTTGGCACGTATTTCAACAAGCATACCCTAAAGAAGACCTCATCGATGTTTGCAAAGAAGTGGCTGCTTTTGTTGAGGGACTGCCACTGGCTCTTGAAGTCATTGCCAATACTTCATCGTACTGGGTTGCGAATGAATGGAAATCCATATTGTGGAAGATGAACAGAGATCTCCCTGATGAAATATACGAGGAACTACGCCAAAGCTTTGACTACTCTTTGAATGATGAAGAGAGAGAAATATTTCTCAATGTAGTTTTATTTTACGTTGGAGAGCCCATGGATGATGTGATGCGTAAGTAGGAGCATAAGTTGGATGGCCGTGGATGTAATGTTAGCACTCGAATAAGAGCCTTGGTGGATCAAAGCCTTGTAACCACTGACGAGGACAACAAACTTGGAATGCATAATCTATTGCAGCTCATGGGAAGACAAATAATATGTGAAACTTCACAAAACGAGCTTGAAAATGAAGGTATGTTATGGTTTTGTGAGGACACATTATGTGCTTCACGTATTATCAAACACGCATGTCAAACACGCATGTTGCCATGATAAATAATATTATTTTTCATAATATTTCTGACATTTTATAATCTTATATTACGATGGTAATTGAACGCGGGAAAAACTTAACTTTATTCAACTAGAGCAGTCGATACATATAGGAGAGGAATATACGATAATCTCGCATATAATCTTATCTAAATCAATCCTAAAATCTAGCCACAACAAATATGGAAGAAATCGTTTAAATTCCTAAATAAAAGGTAGAAAGATAATGCTAAGTAAAAGAACTTGAATTAATCCTGATGGAGTAGGATCATCTCCGGTTTGGACCTAATGAGAATGAGCCCACTTTCAACACTCCCCCTCAAGCTGGCGAATAGATGTTGATCATTCCCAGCTTGCCTGTAAGCTCTTCGAATTTGGCCTTGACAAATGGTTTGGTCATCATGTCTGCAACTTGTCTTCCTATGGAGATGTAAGCCAGATCAACCACTTTGGCCTCTATTTTTTCTTTGATAAAGTGACGGTCAATTTCTACATGCTTCATTCGATCATGTTGAACAGGATTGTTGGCAATTTTTAGGGCTGCCAAGCTGTCGCACCACATCTGAACTGGTGTATTTACTTCAATGCCTAGTTCTCGTAGTAGGCTAACAATCCATATCCCCTCACAAATTCCTAGAGCCAAAGCTCTAAATTCTGATTCTGCTGAGCTCCTTGATACAACTGGCTGTTTCTTGCTTCTCCAAGTAACAAGGTTTCCCCAGACGAATGTACAGTAACCAGTAGTGGAGCGTCTGTCATTAACTGCTCCTGCCCAGTCATCATCGGTGTACACTTCTATGTTTCTACTATCTTCTATGTCAGGTGCCCTCTTGTTTGCATCAGTATATATCTCAACTCCCTTCTGATCTCCCTTCGAGAAGAAGAGACCCTTACCTGGAGTTCTCTTGAGATATCTGAGAATTCGCTCAACCGCCTCCATATGTTCCTTTTGGGGATTGCTTGCAAATTGACTCACAACCCCAACTGCAAATGATATGTCTGGCCTTGTGTGGGATAGATATATTAATTTTCCGACTAACTTCTGGTAGCTTTCTTTGTTCACTGTTTTTCCGTCTGGCTTTATTTCTAGTTTACAATTCTGTTCCATGGGAGTTTCTGCTGGTCTTGCTCCTAACATCCCGGTTTCCTTGAGAAGATCTAGCGTGTACTTCCTTTGAGACAAGTTGATGCCTTTCTGTGATCTGGCAACCTCCAATCCCAGGAAGTACCTTAGGTGGCCTAGATCCTTTACTTCAAATTCTGAGGCTAATTTCCTCTTCAATGCTGCGATTTCATTGTCATCATTCCCTGTTAACACAATATCATCCACATAGACAATTAACACAGTTATTTTATGATCAATGAGTTTGACAAATAGTGTGTGGTCTGTTTGGCACTGTTTGTAGCCAAATCCAGTGACTGCCCGCATAAACCTTCCAAACCACGCTCTTGGTGATTGTTTAAGTCCGTATAGAGACTTGCATAGCCTACATACTTTCCCTTCATTTCTTGGTTCTCTGAGCCCAAGGGGTATTTCCATGTATACTTCCTCTTCCAGGTCGCCATTCAAAAAGGCATTTTTTATATCCAATTGATATAATGGCCAATCCAAGTTTGCGGCTAGTGAGAGCAAAACATTGATAGTGTTGAATTTGGCCACTGGTGCAAAGGTTTCTTGGTAATCTATACCATATGTTTGGGTGAAGCCTTTTGCTACCAACCTGGCTTTGTACTTGTTGGTACTTCCATCTGGATTATACTTTTTAGTAAATACCCATTTACTTCCTACCACGGTTTTTCCTTGAGGCAAATCAACAATATCCCAAGTTCCATTTTTAATCAAGGCCCTTAGTTCTTCCTTAATTGCCAGTTTCCAATTATGGTTAGCTATCGCCTCACTAAATGTTCCTGGGATCTCTTCTCTGTCTATATTGACAACAAAGGTCTTGAATTGAGAGGTGAGTTTGTCATAAGAAACATACCTACTTATCGGGTACCGCGTACAGCTCCTTTTTCCCTTTCTGAGAGCTATGGGCCATTGGAGATCTGCAGGATTAACCTCGAATATGGATTCATGACTTGGCCTTGGAACATTAATGGGGTCTTCACTGGTGGCTGTCTGTTCTTCCTGATTTCCCTGTATCTTACTTATTACTGGCTCAAAAGAAGACTCGGTATAGTTAGGAAGAGGGGAAGTAGGTCTGGTTGTGGTCTCAGGTTGGAATTCTGGTGTGTTAGAGGTAGTTTCTGGTGTGTTGGGTGTGATTTCTATGACTAAAGAGGGTGGTTCAGTAACTTCAGGATCAAGAAAGGTGACATCTAATGATGTTTGGTCATCTAGAGATGTTTGGGTGTTATTGGTAGGATTACTACTCTGCTGTTCAGATTGTTGATCTATCCAGATTGGCCATTCACTACCTCTCTCCCCCTGAATAGGTAATCTGGGATAGAAAGGTAGGTTTTCAAAAAATTTAACATTCATGGTGATATACACTCGCTTTGTGATAGGAGAATAACACTTGTAACCTTTTTGAGTAGGAGAGTATCCTAGAAATATACATTTAATTGATCTAGACTCAAGTTTTCCTTTGTCACCATCAAATACAAATGTTGTACACCCAAAAACACGTGGAGGAAGAGAATGAATGAGATAAGAGTGAGGATAAGTTGCCAAGAATTTTTGAATCGGAGTCTGAAATTTTAAAGTTTTTGATGGCATACGATTGATTAAATATGTAGCAGTAAGCACAGCATCTCCCCAATAAAAATTTGGTACATTTTGACCCAGTAATAGAGATCTAGTTACTTCTAAAAGATGTCAATTTTTGCATTCAGCTACTCCATTTTGTTGGGGTGTATTGGTACAGGACGTTTGATGAAGAATGCCTTTTTCAGTAAAAAAGGTTGTGAGGTGAGAATTAACAAATTCCTTTCCATTATCACTCCGAAAAATCTTAATTGAAGCCTGGAATTGATTTTGGACAAAGGTATAAAAAATTTTAAAAATAGAGAACACCTCAGATTTTTCTTTCATCAAAAATAGCCACGTTAAGCGAGTATGATCATCTATAAATGTTACAAACCATCTGGCCTTAGAAGTAGTAGCGACTCGAGAAGGACCCCAAACATCACTATGAATGAGAGCAAAAGGTTGTGTAGGTGTGTAGGCATGAGATGGGTAAGAAGTACGAGTCTGTTTGGCTAGTTGACACGTTTCGCAATAAAACTGAAAATTCCTTTTATTCATAGAATTTGGAAACAGCAATTTCATGTAATCAATACTTGGGTGTCCAAGTCTAAAATGCCATAACATAAAGTCTTCTTTAGAAGAAAAACTAGAGTTTTAGGAAGTAGATGCAGCCACATATCTCTTAGTTGTAGTTCCTTCAAGGTAGTACAGCCCATTGTGTTCCTTGTTTCGTCCTCTTATGAACATCAGAACATTCCTGGACCATTGTAGATAATTTTTGCCATTCAATCGGTGAGTAATCATCGTCTGCGAGAAGGAGTCGGTAGCTGGAATTATTCCCGTCGAACACGACGCTCCAGTTTGATGACTTCCTCCGGAATCAGCCATCGCGTAGGAGTCTCCTGCAGTTATTGACGGGTTCTGGGTAGAGTCGCTGCCGGTGGTGAAGGTTCGTGGCGGTCCGATCACCGCGTCTCTGAAGGACTGAGCCATTGCTCTGATACCATGATGGTAATTGAACGCGGGAAAAACTTAACTTTATTCAACTAGAGCAATCGATACATATAGGAGAGGAATATACGATAATCTCGCATATAATCTTATCTAAATCAATCCTAAAATCTAGCCACAAAAAATATGGAAGAAATCGTTTAAATTCCTAAATAAAAGGCAGAAAGATAATGCTAAGTAAAAGAACTTGAATTAATCCTGATGGAGTAGGATCATCTCCGGTTTGGGCCTAATGAGAATGAGCCCACTTTCAACATATTATAAACATGCTTATGTCATAGTAATATTTTGATTATATTAATTTAAATAGCAATTTAATTTACTAATATTCTGTATTTTAAAATATATATAATATTCAGCTTACAGGTATGAGGTGTTCTTAAGTTTTAGAGGTGAAGACACTCAGAAAAATTTTACTTCACATCTTTATACAGCTCTATGTAATGCTAGTGTTATTCTGTTCAAAGATGATGTTGAGCTTCACGAAGGAACGTATATAAAAACAGAACTTTTGGAAGCAATTGGAAGTTCAAAAATTGCGATCATCATCTTCTCTGAGGAATATGGTGGATCTAAATGGTGTTTGGAGGAATTGTCAATGATCATAGAGCTTTATGAAACAAATAATAGGACAGTTCTACCTGTGTTTTACCATGTTAGTCCAACACAAATTCGTCATCAAACTTCTAGTTTTGGAGGAGCATTTAATGATCTTGTACAAAAGAATTCACCATCAAAATATCAAGTTTCGGAGTGGAGGAAAGCCCTTACTAATGTTGGGAATCTTAAAGGGACGGTTGTACATAGTTTTAGGTAATTTTTTTTCACTCTTTATTTACTTTTAATTGAGACGCTTAATATGTGTTTATATTATTTGCAAGAATTTCACCATATATTTTTAATTGGAACACGACTCACTTTTATTTCTTCCCTGCGTGGCACCTTTTTAAAAGTTGCATATATTGTAAAATTCTCTGGCATAATTTAGCAAATGTATTCTTTTACTCGCAATTTCTTTGAATATTTTATCAAACTTATAATAGTGGCGTTATGCTAGCCCTCACAATCATGCATGGCTCATTATTGTACAACCAACTAAGCACAAGATATATGCGGTGTCATTAATTGTGTTTCATTCCAATTAATTTTTGTTTTTTTGACTTCTGAATTATTTATATTGTAAGTAATTAACCATATGTGCGTGAACGGATTCTTATTGCAAAATGAAGGCTTCTTTAAGCAAGATTATAAGTGGGTTTAGGCATTACATGAAGCCTTAAGCCAATCAACATTTCCAATTTTATATGTACGAAGAACTTATAAGTCAAGAAGGAAATGAAATTAAAGAATACTTGATCATTTGACAAATATTTGAAGAACAAGAAATGATTTTGTTATCTTTGATTCATTTTAATAAATATGATATTTTGAAATTATTTTATGCTACAGTCGACTTTACTGAGATTTGTTTTAATTACTTAAGGAAAGGTTTAGGGCCCTCTACAAATAATACGCCCTATAAGCTCTTGTATAGATGCCTTATCATTGAATGAAATTACAAGTTTAAATTGCTTTCTCTGGTTTTTCCCAACTTCTTTAAATCATGTAGACAAGTGTGATATTGATTCTTATAATAAATTAATGTGCTCACAGTGAACTGAATTTTGTTTTGCAATGAAACAATCAGTGTTTATTCGTAATATCTACTTTACTCCAAGCACAACATATATAGCTTTCAAACTATTGAATTTATTTATTTGTAATGGTGCGTGTTAAGATATCCAATGCACATTTTCCATTATGCTTATATGATTTGCAGGGACGAGAGTGATTATATTGAAGACATTGTTAGGCAAGTTTGTGATATATTAGACAAGAAAGACTTATTTGTGGCTGAGCACCCAGTAGGATTAGATAATCGTGTACGTGAAGTGATCGCAATGCTCCAAAACCATTCATCTGAAGATACTGTCATGGTTGGGATATGGGGAATGGCGGGTGCCGGCAAAACAACTATTGCCAAAGCCATCTATAATGAAATTGGTCGCAATTTTGAGAGTAGAAGTTACCTCCCAAATATCAGAAAAGTTTGGCGTCAAAAAAATGGTAAAGAGCACTTGCAAAACAAACTTCTTTCTGAAATATGCAAGCCAACAAAAATGAAGATAAACAGCATCGAATCAGGAATGATCACTTTGAAGGATAGACTTAGACATAAAAAGGCGCTGGTTGTGCTTGATAATGTGGATAAGCTGGCCCAACTAAAAGCTCTAGCTGGAAGTGGTGACTGGTTTAAACCAGGAAGTATAATAATCATCACAACTAGAAATCAAAGTTTACTCCCTAAAAAGGATTGTTGCGTTTATATGATGAAGAATTTGGATAAAGGGGAATCTGTTGAGCTGTTTAACTGGCATGCATTTAAACAAGAAAGTCCCAAGGATGATTTCATTCACCTTTCAAGAGATATAGTTGTATACTGTGGGGGACTTCCATTCGCTCTTGAGGTCCTAGGCTCTTGTTTATTTGGCGAAGAAGTGGAAGAATGGAAGAGTGTATTGAGTAAACTTAAAAAAATTCCCAACAGCAAGATACACAAGAAGCTAAAAATAATCTATGATGGTTTAGATGATTTGGAGAAAGAAATATTCCTCGATATATGTTGCTTCTTTATTGGGATGGACAAAACTGAAATGACACACATATTAAATGGCTGTAGATTTTTTGCTGACACTGGAATCAAAAGGCTTTTGGAGCGAAGCCTTATGACCATTGATGAGAAGAACAAGCTTGTTATGCATGATTTGCTGCGGGACATGGGAAGAGAAGTAATTCGTCAACAATCTAAAATGGAGCCTGGGAATAGAAGCAGGGTATGGTTTCATAAGGAAGCACGAGCTGTATTATTAGAACACATGGTAGGAACTTTTATATCCAATATTTAAAACTCATTTTGTACTCACACTTCTCTATGAGCATGATAATGACATATATGTTTCTATGTTTGTGTGTCAACAAACAAATATGCTTTTATTTTTGTAGGGAACAGAGGCTATTGAAGGAGTATCTTTGAAGTTGTCACAAAGTAAAAAGATGCATTTTCAAATAGAAGCATTTAAGATGATGAAGAGACTCATATTACTTCATCTTGACAATGTACAGCTTAAAGGAGACTACAATTATATTAGTAAAAATCTCAGATGGCTTTGTTGGCATGGCTTTCCCTTAAAATACATTCCTAGCAACTTTTATCAAAAGAAATTAGTTGCTATTGACTTAGAAAACAGCAGTCTTAGAAAAGTCTGGAAGGAATCCCAGGCACGTAAATTAGTTGGCTTTTTGAGCCACAAGTATCAAAGCAAAATTAAAAAATAAAGGGGAAAAAAGGCCAAACTGCTATATGACAAAAAACCTGGTTTCTCTAAAAAATTACCAAAATACTTCAAATTTGTAGCATTATGGTAAATAGTTTATCATAATTTCTTTTTTTCCCCCTAGTATTTGACTCAAGAAGCTTAGTTAATTTGTTGATTCTAGCTTCTAAGTTTATGGATATGTGGAAAATAAAATAGGGACTTGGGACGTGTAAATATATTACTCTACTTTTCATTGGGTTTTATATTTTGCAGCCTTCTTGATAGTTCTTATATCTTAGATCCCCCCACCTATATATAGCATATGAATGAATTTTCCCTTGCTATTATTGAAGAATAAAGCTACTAGATTTTCTTTAATTCAAATTTGCTTTATGTTGAAATATGTGTTACTTTTTCTAGATTAAGTAACTGATATACAATATGCTTTTTCTTTCAAGAGTTAATTTTCAATTGATTGAAAACAATGTTTACACTCAAGAGTCTTTAGTTTAGGTGAATGATTTTACATATCATTCCCATGTGTTTTATTATTTAAATTTCTCAGGATGTTCGTTTACTTCCCTTTTAAAATATGTTTTCTTTGTAGAAATTGAAGAGGTTAAAAATCCTCAATCTCAGCCACTCTCCTTACTTGAAGCAAACTCCTGATTTTTCAAAAATACCAAATCTTGATAAGTTGATCCTCAAAGACTGTCAAAGATTGTCCACGATAGATGATTCTATTGGGCGTCTTCATAAACTTCTTCTACTAGATTTGGAGGATTGTGTTGGCCTTCATAGTCTCCCAAGAAGCATTTACAGATTAAAATGCTTAAAAACTCTCATTCTTTCTGGTTGTAAGAATATTGACAAGCTAGAGGAGGACATAGAGCAAATGGAATCTTTGACAACTCTAGTTGCTCCTACAATAAAGCGAGTGCCTTACTCTTTGGTGAGATTAAAAAGCATTTTAAATCTATCTATTTATGGTCATGAAGGATCAGCACATTGTGTGATTCCTTCTCTCTACGAATCTTGGATGTCCCCAACAAATAATCCACTACCTCTTATTCCATGGCATATGGGCATGCCATCATCAATTTTGGGGGATGTGCTAAACAGTATTCATAGTCCTCCAACAATCCCAAGTACTGTACCAAAGCAACAAAGTCTTTTGTTGGAAGCTGGATTGGAGATTTCTGATTCCTTGTTTGCCACAAATTGTATGGACATCTCGATACTTAAGAATTGCTTGGAACATCTTTTAATTAACATTGGAAAGAATTCTCAAGCCTTTTGTACGCTTTCGAAGAAGATTTCATAGGTTCTGTCTCTCTCTCTCTCTAGATTTTTTGAAAAGGATTTCTACGTGCATAATTATATAGTTAAATTAGAGGTTATGTTTCTCTTACTGTGCAGGGATCGAATCTTACAAAGTATGGTGATGACTGTATTCTTCCTAGTGATAATTATCCCTATTGGCTAACATTCAAAGGTGAAGGAGCTTTTGTAAAATTTAAAGTGCCTCCAGTTAATGGTCATGATCATTTAAAAGGGATGACTATTTGTTGTGTATATATCCCCTCAAGAGATTTTGATGACAAGGCATGTGAATCTTGTATAATTTACTTAATGATCATAAATTATACGAAGACAACTACTTTGCTCTACACAGAAGACAAACTAAAATTCTTAGAAGAAGCAGAGATGAAAGAAATAATATCTAATCTAGAATGTGATGACCAAGTGGAGGTGAAAGCAGTTTTTGGGAATGGATTCACTATGAAGAACACAACTGTCTACTTGATATATAATGAGTCATTTGATGAACAAATAGAGCCTTTAACATTTGAAGCTGTAAGTTTAACCGGCACCAAACACAATTGTGAGGAGGAGTACGAGGCCCATCAATATACCAGACCTAGAAAGGCAATGAAGATTTGAAATTTGGAAACTTTCTTCCATTTTTTTCTGCAACACTTTCTCTTGGGTGTTTTTCTAGCCACAACACTTTTTATGAAGTCAATATGTCATTTTAGAATTAAAACTAATCTATATGTATGATTGTACATAAATGATTATATTCTCCCATTTGCAGCTCTCTTTTTCCAGATAACTTGGGGTGATATCCTTTTTTCCTCTTCCCTTCCTATTCTTGGCAAAAATGAAGAAAGAATTGTATTAAAAATATAAGAAATGAAACCAACTAGTTTTTGTTTAACTTGTTATTGAAGATTGATATTGTTATGCTACTGCTAAGAATAATGACTCTACAATGTTAAAAAACCTTGTAGAATAGTGGCCAGAAGCAGTGGCAGGGCCATATTGGCTATGACATTAAAAATGGAGAAAGCACAGTGTTTTGAGATATAGGTTGGGGCAAAAGCAAGAGACAAGTCTGGAATTGCTGATGTCTTCTTGCTAAGGGGTCGTCATCTGTGCTATAATCACTCTTTTTATATAATGAGAGCTTAACCAACATAATTGCAAGATAAATCAAAAACAGACAATCCTGTACTCTTATATACATATACATATATATATATATCTATGACAAGTCTCAGAATTATAATACTAAGAGATGAAGAAGACCAGAAGCATTAACAAATAAGATGGAAAACTACGCGCTACAGGAAGGGAATAGGGAAACTCCAGAGTCATAGGGACAATGGCTAGAGGGAGGAGAGAAAAACAACAGAGAGAAATCTCCATAATTAGCTTCACTGCTACAAGCCCCAATCTCTCTCCATCTAGACACCCCAATGGCTTGTTCCATGTTAGTCCACTCTTCATAAACCCAATTATCGCATCTTGTGGTTTATTAGTCTCAGGTTCAGAGTCATAAGCTTATTTTATGTTCAGCCCATTCATTACAATCTGGCAACTATACTCCTAGGGCAACATTACACATTTATCAGTTGCTAATGTGCTTGGCGTAGTGTTGTTTTATCCTATCTCTTTTCATCATTTTATTTTTACTTACTTGGACGCAGAATATATATTAAGTCAAGATTGGTTGGTTCCAACTTATAAGGGTATAGCATTTGATGGCTTTTAATTTCTGGATGAAGATGAGATGAAAGAGGACAGCATTTGGGTACAAGCATTGTAGTAGTCATTTGCAGAAGACAAAGTTCACCAGTCTGTTAGTCGCTGCCAAAGATGAATTTTACACTTCTACTTTTCTTTTGGGTCTCCTTTCAGTTCATAACCTTTATTTTGGAATTGAGCACTGAGATCTCCTTGTTGGCTGTGACTATGCGCTTCAGCGAAGATGTGTAAGCATTCTATTCCGAGTCTTATAATTTGGGAAGACAAGGAAACTCTCAAAAACATACCTATTCATCAGAGCACTACGCTATAATTATGACATTAGTTATTGAGGTTCTGGCATTTAGAATCTAACGTTGCCAATTATTTATGACATGATTGAACTATGGTCATATGACCTCCTTTGTTTTCTTTCCAGCACAAGGTTTCGTTATTATTTGTGGAAGCCATATTCACTACCTGCGTCTTTGTATTTTTTCTAGATGTAGGGGGTGTTTGGCAAAACCAAAACCTAGGTTTCAGAATCATTTTTCCGCAAAACGAGGTAACTTCCTCCACATATTTACTTCGTAATCCGTAAAAGAACTTCTGAAACCATGATTTAGTTTCTATCCAAAGACCCCTGTAGTCTATGTAACCTCTTGGGTTTTGACTATTTTCCTCGAAGGATTGAAAGTGAGTATCTTTTTGACACCTCTGTAGCTACATATTCGTGCTCATCACTTTCTTTCTTTATTAATAATTCATCTGAGGATGAGCCTCGGAGCAATAGTAAGGCTGCAGGCATGTATTCCTAGAGATCATAGGCTCAAATCTTGAAAACAGTCATCCATGGATTGGCATATGTATGGCGCGATGGGACCACTCCCCTTTTGGTTCAGTATGAGCCCATCTTGAGGGTGAAGTCAAACTTATAGCTAGGCTGGACTTTATCGCTTCCCTGTCAGGACTTCTCGTTGACAGAGGACAATGACACGGGGCGTGATATATGTAGTTTAAGTAGCTTCTCACTTTTTAGGATAAAGTTTATTATTGTTGATATACTTGGTACTCCTCCGGTCTTTATTATAAGATCCAATTTGACTTTTTATTTGGTCCTAATTATAAGACCCAATCCATTTTCTCTTTTATATTTATGCATTTTTTTTCCAAAATAATCCTTCTAATAGTGATAGTTTTAGCCAATATACTTAATTAGCAATGATATTTTAGGAATAACAACACTTATTTATAATAAATAACCAACTTAACTTACTTCCTTAATCTCCTCAAATAAGTCAATTGGGTCTTATAATTAGGACTCGAGGAGTATTATGAGATGTAGTCTATAATGAGTACTCCTCCGATCCTAAATATAAAACTTCTTTTATAGTGAAAATTACACTATAAAAGGAGTCTTATATTTAAAATCAGAAAAGTAACTTGCAAAGATATCGAGTGGAGTGACTGTTCGAATTCAAAGAGAAAATTGTAAGGATAGAAAGTACAATCAAACTAAAACAATTACATTATCATGAAACAACTATGAGGTCAATCAGATTATAAGGTTTTTCTGTTGAGCCATGTAAGATTATACAAGTAAAGACCAAACAAATTGTCAAAAAGACAAAGAAAAGGACCGAATCTGACAAAAATAAATTTTTTTGGTTGAGATTTTCATCTCATAAAATAAAAGTCTAGAAAAAACAAACTCAAAGTAATAGGGGAGTGAAAATTTTTCAGGAAAATTGGGGGGAATTTTTATGGTGAAAATAACCAAAATCATTGTGTGGATAAAATTCACAAAGCATTTGTACTTTTTGCGCACATCAACCTATTAGCTGCTCTTTACCAATAAAATTTTCAGCGGAATTTTTTTTCCAATTTTCCTGATTTTTTTTTTCAAAGAATGAATTTGGAGGGTTAATGTGTAAATTTTTTTTGAAAATTTTCACTCAGGAATATTAGGCACTTGAAATTTTTTTTTTTTGGTGAATTTGCTTAGAAGTTTAAAATCATGACTATTATTTTATACTGTTAAAAATGTTCAACAATAGATGTTAATTTTTTAATAGTAAGAAATAATATTCCTATGATTTTAAACAAACAAGGCAAATTTGTATTTAAAAATTTTTTCAGCTGTCCGATATTTCTAAATAAAAACTTTAAGAATAAATTTGTTTCTTAATTTGTAACTCTCCCACAACATCATTATATACAAGTTTAATGGTTAATATTCAAATCTGAATTGAAGAGCCCTGGATTAAAAAACCACAAGTTACATTTCATGTGCTCATGCGATAATAATCTGTAAAATAAATTTTCCACTTTGTAACCAAAAAAGCTCATATTCAAGACCATATGGTAAGGGACTTTCATTGTATTTCAATCCATAAAATATTTGTAATAATTTATTTTTAATATATTGCGGAAAGAAATATATATAGTTATAAAGAAGTGTCTCCATTATTAGAAATTTTAAAAATTTATTCAACCAACGAGAGTTGGTCCAAGTGGTAAGTGGCTTGGTACCGTTTAAGCGAGGTCTCGAGTTCGAGCCTCAGCGAATGCAGAAACCCGTTGGGAGACTCACCCACCACAGCCAGTGTAATCAGAACAAATTTCCGGTGAACTTGTTATTCTTGAAAAGGGTAAAAACTGAAAATAAATGAATTGGGCTGTGTCTCTTTTCTTTCTCATCCTCATCATCTAAACACCGGCTCAGACGCCCTTATCCGATTTTTTGCCTCTCTACCATCGATTCCCTGCACAAGTCTTCTCTTTTATCCCTCCCCTCCTTCTTCTTCCTCTTCCTATGACACTCTCTCGATTGCCCTTTATTCACAAGCGGGCTACGCTTTTCTCTTCCGAGTAGTGGTGGAGCACTACCACATACGAGGGCCGTAGAATGTCTTGTTTATTGCCGCAGTTCAAGTGTCAGCCCGACACTTTCTCTATCCACTACAGAGCTCATCCTCATGTTTCTCTTCTCTCCACTCATTCTCACTCGCACTCCCATCTCCGTAAGTTTTCTCTTGTCTTTCCCATTTGACTATACTTTTGATTTCATTGCGATGTATACTGAACTGGGTTTATCGTAGTTTTGGTTATTTTGTGAGGACTTTTTACTTTTCAGTAGTCTGCATTGCCCTTGTTGTTGATATGTGCTACAAAAATTTATTCAAAAGAACACAGCTTGTTCCTTTCTGAATCTTTGGGACTTAGATGTATATTATTCTTAGTCCCTGTTTGTTCACTGAATCGTGAAGTTGATATGCGACATATGGAACAAATTATCATTTTTGAGTTACCGTTGGGTGTTGTGACAATTATGCATTTGTGTTTAGTCTTTTCCCATTTTGACATCAACTGCCGTTTCAATTTGGCTGCAGAAGCCATTTTTCCTTCTTAATTTATCTGTGCTTCTTCAATGCTAAACAGATTTGTTGTGATGGATTGCCTTAATCATATTTCTAAGAAACTTAATCTTGTTAGGCAAGGGTCATCTTCAAGAATCATCAATAATTTAGTTAAATTTCTGAAGAAAAAATTGAAAATTGATGAAGAGTTTGAGAGAAAAAAGTGAAGTTTGTTTATTTCTATTGTATATATTTTCTCAAGGATCATCAATAATTCAATATTCAATAATATAATTATATTTCTGAAGAAAAATGAAAAAATTGAAGAGCTTGAAACTTGAAAAAGGAAAGCAAAGTCTTTTTATTTGTACTGATATAAGAAACCACCCAAGGAATTGGAAATATGTATAGTCTATGGCACATTAACCTTTGTGTTGTTTTAGAATTCCATCCTCTAGTTCTGAATCTACTTGTGCCAGGACAATAATATAACGAAATTGCTATTGTGGGTTTGATTCAAGTTACTTGTAGAGAAAATATAAGGAAAGCACAAACTAAAATTACTTTTCGTCATAATTTAAATCTCACATAGTTGATATATGCTAATTAGGGAGAGTCATACATAACTCATTTTACCAAGTTTGATGAAAACTGCAGAGTTACCTCTCTAGCTGTAGTGATGCGCTGACTTGCTATTGATTCTGTTGTGTTATGGCTAGATTAGCTGGAAACTTTCTTACCCTTATTGTTCTTTGATTGAATTGATCTGATCAAATTGGTTCAGTTGAGCATTTGTTCACTTCCGTTTTTCGTATCCAGATAATACTTTCCGTGAAGAAACCTGGTCTTCTATAATTAAAGCGATATTTTCACTTGAATATCTTATTAACAATATTCATGCATTTCTTCTAAACTGTTCAAAAGCTGCTAGCGTGAAGGGTGATTACATATATAGTTTAATTAGCAAGTCAGAAAGGTCCTCTATTTTTTTCTCTGTTTGTTGTAACAGTTACCGCAATTAGATTTTAACATTATGTTTTGTTGGAATTTGAAATATGCAGCAAAAAATAGAGAAACTCTGTGTTTCCAGGCACATTGTCTTTTATCTGCCACACCTCCTTCCACCTCATCATCAACTGGATCAGCAGCAATTCTCAGCTTGGAAAAGTTGGCATTAGCTCCTATAGATGGTAATTCTGACTCAGTCACTGCAACCAGACCTTGGACATATAGTGGTACAACTGGTCCACCCACAGAGGTTAGATTACGCAATTATATTTTGACATAATAATTATATCAATTCCATGATTGCCTGATCAACACATAATACATGCGCTGAAAGTGATCTATTCCTAATAGTTTGCATTTGAGGTGTTTAATGGACAAACCAGTTCAAGTTATTTAATGATGTTGAAGTGCAACGTGATATACTGTAATTGGATTTGTCTTGTGTACTGTTGCATTAGTTTTATTCTCTAATAATGTTGAGAAACATTAAGTACCAATTTTTATTAATTTTTTTGGGCCATATGCAATTGAATTTCACTATTTGCTTGATTTTTTGGTAAATAAAATTTCTCTCGCTTTATCAATCACTCTTCATTTTGGTTTGTGTTAACCAGTGTTGTTGTGAAATGTAAACTTTTCTAGTTTTCTTATATGCAGGTTAGTTGATATTCAATTTGAGAGTTTGACCAAGCTCTTAATTTTGGAGTATTTCCAAAGATTTTAAGTCATGCAAAATCTTTTAATATATATATATATTTATATATATAACTTTCCAGTAGCTAATTGGCTTTGTGCTATTAATCAGGCAAGCTTTAAAGCAACTTTAGCTGCAGAATCTCTTATTACTAGTGAAGAGGCTGTAATAGCTGCTGCTGCTTCTGAAGCTGTTGCCCTTGCTAAAGCAGCTTTGAAGGTTGCAAAGGATGCAGCTATGCTAGCCAAAAATAAGTCCCCAGCAGAATCAGAGTATAAACCGTCTATTTCTTCCAAACCTGATAACTTACTTCTTAAATGGGTACAACGTATGGAAGCTGAAGATGGTCTAGTGGGAGGGTCCATGGGCACTGAAGCAGAGACAATGCGAGACGGTAGCATAAATAATAATGAAGAGGAGTCTGATGATGTGGAGCCGACAAATGAGGATCTTGAGCATCTGGAGGAACAGCTTTTTGGCACCATAGCTGTTAGGTCAAAGCGCCAAACTGAACGAAAAGCTAGAAGAGCCAGGGCAGCTGAGAGGGCTTCCACAAATATTCTATCTTTCAAGTCTGGATCTTCTAGCCGTAAAAAACGTGCTGCTATGCAAGAAGTAGACTATACTGATCCATTACGATATTTAAGAGCAACAACTAGCACTACTAAACTTCTTAGTCCAACTGAAGAACTTGAGCTATCTGAAGGAATACAGGTGTGATATGGTGATGTTCATGTCTATGATGCTAATCACTTAATATTTAGCAGATAATCTTCATGGAGCTGTTTCTTTTTTCTTTTTTTAATGTATCTTGGGCATCTATTTAGTTGTCATTCTAAATTTTCTCGAATTGCATCAGCCTTTTTGAGATATTGTGTTTAGCATCACTAACTAGATTTCTTATCAGTTGCTTCAAATGATTTACTTTAGATGAGTAGCATGTCCTAAAGTTGGTTAAATTTCTATCTGGTTCTTTTAATTTTTATTTTGCTGGCATTTAATGGAATTTAGAAAGTGCTACCTCAAAATGAAGAAGATTTTGTTTGCTGCTAGACTTGTCTTAAAGTTCTCATAGCTATGTAATGTTTCTCAAATTTTTTGCTTAATTGTAGTCACAGATAGAGGTGTACATTACTTCCTGTGTTATTGAGAATTGAGGATACAGGGAAGCTTTTCAAGCTCTCCCTTTTGTCATCTGTTCTGTAACTGAGCAGAAAAGGAAAACATAAGTTAAAAAATTATTATTATTATTATTATTATTATTAATTTAATAATAATAGAGCTACTTATGTGAAATATATATCACCATCATAAGATTTCGTGACTTTGTAGAGCTTTCAAGATTTGAAGTCAAGGAATCACTAGAGAACTAGAAGTATCTTTTTCATTTTGGATTAAATTTCTCTATTCATTTTATAGCCTATCTTATTTTCCTTTTCTATATTTCAGGACCTACTAAAGTTGGAAAAACTCCAGGATGATCTAGCAGAAAGATGTGGCAGTCCGCCAACATTCGCTCAATGGGCTGCAGCAGCAGGAGTGGATCAGAAAACCTTGAGAAAGCGCTTAAATTATGGCACCTTTTGCAAGGACAAAATGATTAAGAGTAATATAAGGCTTGTCATATCAATTGCTAAAAATTATCAGGGAGCTGGAATGAATCTCCAGGATCTTGTCCAGGTTTTTGTCTCACCAGTATACTCTTATGGTAAATAAATGTTGTCAGAGGTAAATCCCATTTTAGTCCTCAAGAATTACTCAAGTATCATTTTGCTCCCTATAACATTTTGTACCACTTTGTTGTTTGAAAGATTGCTTTTGTTTCAATCCCATGGAACATCTAACTCTTGAATATATAGTATGCCATACTTTCAAGTACTATAATAATACTCAAATTCTTTGAGGGAGCGAATTGAATGTTTGGGTCATCTTTAGTGGACTAAAATAGGAAGTATTTAGAATATCATGTAAAGCATGGTGATGATGACCTTGATGCTTCTAGTAACGAGTATGTTATGCTTTTCCTTATTGACTCACAGGAAGGATGTCGAGGCCTTGTGAGAGGTGCTGAGAAGTTTGATGCTTCAAAGGGTTTTAAGTTCTCCACCTACGCTCACTGGTGGATTAAACAAGCTGTTCGGAAATCACTTTCTGATCAGTCAAGGACAATTCGCTTGCCGGTGTGTAATCTGTGATTGTTGAATGATTATTACTTTCTTCTTGCCCTTATATCAAAGTAGTTCCTATGCTACACATAACTTCTTGTTCAAATGAATTGATTTGTGTTGTTTTGGACTTACAGTTTCACATGGTGGAGGCATCTTACAGAGTGAAGGAAGCAAGAAAACAATTGTATAGTGAAAATGGAAGACAACCTGATGATGAAGAAATCGCTGAGGCAGCTGGACTATCCATGAAGAGGCTAAATGCTGTTCTTATGACCCCAAAAGCTCCTAGATCACTGGAACAAAAGATTGGGATCAACCAGAATCTTAAACCTTCGGTCTGTCCTCGTCTTATTCAAACTTTTCCCATTCAAATGTCAATACCCTTCTGTCTTTTTGACATGACTTATGTTTTACTATCAAGGAATTTATGAAGAAGGATCTGGAACTTGTACTGGACAGTCTGAATCCGAGAGAGAGGCAGGTGATAAGATGGAGATTCGGCATGGATGACGGAAGAATGAAGACCTTACAAGAGATAGGAGAAATGATGGGGGTGAGTAGGGAAAGAATTAGACAAATAGAGGCCTGTGCTTTTAGGAAACTTAAGAACAAGAGGAGAACCAAGCATTTGCAGCAATATTTGGTTTCCTAACCTTATCAGAAATCAATGTTCAGACCTTATTTGATAGCTTCCCCAGCCGTATGTTTTTCCTCCATTTTTTCTATAGTCTTGAGGAGATAAGTTAAAAAATATAGTATTCATTATAGTAGAGAAGGATGTACACAGAGGTTAATTATTGGTTTAGAGGTTATTCCATTTTTTTTGTGGAATGCTTTGAATCCAAGTATTTGCTTGTAGCCAAGAACTTAAAATTTTTCACTTCTAAAATCTTCCTCTTATCTCCCATGCATAATGAGTGTTTGGATTATGTAATTAACATGCCAAACTAAAATTTTTTAGGCATCAGCTCATCTAATATCTAATACGACAGACTAATTCAAACTTTAGTTGGGTCAAGTTTTAATTGGTGAATCCTTTACTTATGTAGTATTTTTTCCATCATTCATAAGATTGAAACTCATAATCTGGTCTTGGCAAATGAAGAAACTCATAATCAGGTTGAGGTTGTCTCTTGATTAAACGTTCTTGTGACATCGAATTGTATAAAAGGGTAGGCCTGCTTTTTGAATGCATCCTAACAAGACCAAAAGGACAAGATTAATAGGACGCATATGATTTAAATTTTTTAAAGGATTGATTTAATATTTCATCTGGTCCTAATTTGATTTATCAAACTCTCTGCAATTTCAAATATAGGAGTTAAATAAATAATTTACAAAGATTAAAAAAATAATATGCAATGAATGGAGTATGTAAAAAAACTGTAAATTTAGAAGATTGCAGATTAAAATCTTATATTCAAAATAAGATTTTTTTAACCAACTTCTATATTTAAAATAACATGCATGAATTTATTACTCATACATGTTTTTCTTGTTCCCTCACATGAAGCCCAGTCCCATTGCACCAACTCTTGTTTTTGTCTAACTACGTGAATGTCTCCATAATTTGACACAGATTTGACGATAATTTGACTCCTCATTTAAGATCTATAAGAACTTTGTTTTGTCGTTTTATCCTTTGAAACGACATTGCTTATGCCACGTATTTCTACTTTTATTTTTGGCTTAAAAATCTTTATATAGTTTTAACAAAGTTTTTCAATTAAAATACATGAAAATATTACACATACATTATCTGTATAGATCTTTTTTTTATCCATACATTTTTGGGGAATCATATGTCAATAAATTTTAATTAAAAAAATTGAAAAGACTATAAACGGGAAACATCTGATTATACTCTTTCTGTTAAATATTTATAACTTAATCAGATGATAATTCAAAATCTTAAAAAAAAAAAAATCTAGACTAGAGATATCCTAATAAATTTTTAACTGTTTATAAATAATTTTTTATTTCTGTAAAAGGAAAGAGAGAATAGAACACGCAAAAGGTGTGGTTAGAGTAAATGAAACACTGTCGTTTCCTAATTGGGCGTGCGTTTTATGACCTCTGGGTGTTTTCACTCATCTCTATGTAATGCCGTTGAAGCCAAAGGATGCCATTCACTCGTTCCTTCACTAAATAGTTCAGTTTCAATGAACCCCAGACGGAAATTACTGTGCTTTCCTCTTCTTCCTTAAGCTAATTCTCGTCCCAGTTTCTCTTTTTCACCTCTAATATGAAAGGAGGCAGAAGCAATTTGGAGGCACCGAAAGATTCTGCAACTTTTGCTGCTGCTGCTACTGGTATCGTTGTTGCTGCTAGCAATGGAGGTGATGACCTGCTAACTCCTCCTGTTGGAAACGATCAGACTCAGTTTCAGATGGTGGAAGAGACGAAGCTCAAGGGCAAGTTTCAGAAGAAGCTGAGGCTGAAGAGGAAGATGAAGAAGTTGCGGATAAAGTGCCCCAGGAGGGTGTTCGTCCAAAGCTTGATGAGGGGTACTTTGAAATCGAAGCAATACGTCGCAAGAGGGTTCGTAAGGTACAGATGTAGAACCTATTTCTGGTTTTTCTGATCTTTTAGAGCATATTGAGTTTTTTTTTTCCCCCTGATTTTATTATGTCTGACTGTGGTTTTCTTTTTCTTTTTTTCCCCTCTTTGGGGTGAAATACAAATGTTGCGAATATAGGGTCAGCTCGAGTACCTTATAAAATGGTGGGTGTTTCTTTTACTTCTTTGTCTTTTGATTCTTATTCCATTATGAAAATGGAGGGAGTTAGTGAATCTGCGTAAATGTGATTGTTATTCTTTTAACTCTGAAGGCGCGATTGGCCTGAAACAGCCAACACTTGGGAGCCCCCAGAAAACTTACAGTCGGTCCCTGATGTTGTTGAAGCTTTTGAAGCCAGGTATGCCCTTCCTATACGGATAAAGAGATTCCATGTTAATATATAAACAATATGAAAAATGATACTCTTAGTTTTCAATTTTTTCTTTATAAAGGGGGCATACAGGAAGCTTATATGAGCATTTGTTATATGGTTAAAGGCAAAGTTTTGTCTTAAGTTCTTGAACTCAAGAAATTGGAGGGACATTATGAATAGTTCGGTTACTCTATTTTCAAATGTATGTTCCTTCTTTCTACTTTGCAGTTTGAGATCTGGAAAGCATCGAAAGAGGAAGCGCAAGCATGCAGTTCATCACACTTTACCCAAGAAGAGGCAGCATCGTTCAACCACTTCTTATAGCCTTAGACAGTTTTCAGCAAAGAGTGTAGCTGACAACCATTGCCAATCTGCTCCCGCCAATGATCTTAGTGTTGCTGATCTTCCTGCTCATCCTCAACCTGTGATTTTTGCTGATGAAGTGGAAGAAAATGGTAATGGTGGCGGTCTTGGAAAAGCTGAACCAGCTAATGAAAATCGGGGTGTGAATGTTCCAAAACTTAATTTTGAAAGGGAAAATGATTATGATCCTAAACTTACAGAGCTTAGAGCTACAACATCATTCATGACAACCAATGGGGTCAATTCAAATAAGCTTGCAATACATATCCAAGAAGCCAATGCTGAAATGAATGGTCAATCTAAGGTGGATAGTATGGGACTGAATCAAAGTGGTCGCTGCAGAGGAGCCAAGAGGAGAAAATCTGGTTCTGTGAAGAGGTTCAAGAAAGACTCTTATGTGTGTGAACCTGATGATGCTCAAAATCAGGCCATCATAGTTGGACAAGCATGGCCAGAAATTGCTGATTTTGGGGGAAATAATAGTCACCAGATGGGTGATGCTAAAACATCCTATAATATCGTCAAGATTATAAAGCCACTGAGCTATTCAGCTTCTGTATCCAGCGACATACCAGATATTATAGTGAACTTTTTGGCCATGAGGTTAGACATTCAACTAACTAGTCCAGCTTTCATATTCTATACCTTTGACTTGACGAAACATCCACAATTGCATGACCCGGAATATTTTCTGAAATAATTTAAGCTTTCTTCAGGGTAAGTATGTCTATTTAAGGAAAGTAAGTATTCCTCCGGTTCTAAATATAAGACCCTTATACTAGTGTGTATAAGGGTCTTATATTTAGGATCGGAGGAGTATAATATTTCCAAATAATATATGTTTCACTTATGAACAACCAGCATTAATTTATGATCCAAAATTAAGACAGCTTTTCAGAAAATTAAACAGATAGGGATATTAGTCTGCCAAACTTCAGTCACTTCCAATAAGCATTTTATTACACATTGTTGAAGACAGGAATTGATTACTAATAAGTTATCACAATAATAATCAAAATCATGTGATGCTTGTCGCGTTTGGGTCATAGGTTTTTGGCTTTAATGACTGGCTTGATTGGTGTGACATTTTATTAGTTCATTGCTTGGCATCCTTAATTGAATAACCTATTTGATCTTAGAGCATAAGTTTGGTGCTTCTATAAGTTGACATGGTTTAACCCTATTAGATCATTTTGCTGTTCTGCCAATCTATTGTCCATTTTATTTGATTGTAACAAAATATGCAGTGAATAAAGAACAGAGGGCAAGAGATGATGAATAACTTTGCATATTCATTTCTGTATTTCTCTTTATTGTATCTGTAGTGCCAATACAATGCATAAATATTGATACTGTACAAATCAAAGGAGGACAAGTATAGGCTTCTGGAGTACTCCACTAGGGCTAGCTGTGAGGGAAAAATATCAGCTACACATAAAATATATTTTGCCTGACGAAGTGCTAGTGAGTGTTGCCGGGTTTGAGAGGCTTTGCCTCTTGTTTGGCTGTTTGGTGCGCTAACAGGTTGCATGTACTTGTAACTGTCAGAGTCTTCAAAATCTTGTGAGGGATGACTTATTATTGGCATTGTTTAACCATGTGTCTTAAAAGAATGCATGTGGGCTTACTCATTTAATTTCGAGAACTTGTCAGCTATGTATGTTTCTTGTTGATGCTTATGCATTTGCTTGCTTATTAATATCTTTCTCGATAAGTATAATGAAAGCCCAAATTCTAAGGCCTTTTGCATAAACAACACATAGTCGCATCTACATTATTAGTGATGTTAGTTCATTTGGAGATGAGATGTCAAAATTGTAATGCCACAGTCTACAGTGAATTTTTCTTGCTCATAGATAATTAGGGAAAATATGGTGAAATTGATTTTTCAATCAGGACCCTGCATGGTTTTTCACACAATGAAGCTAATACTAATATAATAAGCTTTACAGGTCTGATGGAACAGAAGTTGAGGTGGATAACAAGTATCTTAAGGCTAACAATCCACTTCTGGTAATTTAATATCTATCTGCGAATTGGTGGATTAACACTTTACCTCAAAATATGCCTTGATCTAATGACTGCTCTTTTGTTCCAGCTGATCAACTTCTATGAGCAACGTCTCCGGTTCAATC